TAGGAGAACAAAGCTTCCATCTCTGCATTAAGTAAGTATATGAAGACACACCTTGGCCCCCAAGTAAGCCAAAAGAAGGGCCCTATTCTAGCCCAGCAATTCTAAGTGTCTTCAGTCTGGCCCAAAGCCAAAGTAGGCTGACAGACTAAGGACGACCGTTGTTCCCTTACTAAATTAAAATATTGTGAGTGGAAGGTAAATGAGAATTAGGTGATCTGTGCCTTGAGCAGAAGCTCTGATTCCCACCCTCACCTCTCACAGGCGCACATACACTCAGGTGAGATTTCAGTATTAGGTGAGGAAATTCAATACCCAAAATACCAATTGTTTTTCAATGTGCAACAAGCATTCATTCATTCACCTATCAAGAATTACCTTATTTTTGAGAATTTACTCCAGCATCATCGCCTCTTGGAAATGCTTTGTGATGCCTCCCACAGGTGATCTGATCAAGGAGCAGCTTCTTGGGTCTCCCATGACAGCTTCTTTTTTTTTTTTTAAGATTTTTTTTTTTTTTTTAATTTGACAGATCACAAGTAGGCAGAGAGGCAGGCAGAGAGAGACAGGAGGAGTCAGGCTCCCCGCTTAGCAGAGAGCCCGACGCGGGACTCGATCCCAGGACCCTGAGATCATGACCTGAGCCAAAGGCAGAGGCTTTAACCACTGAGCCACCCAGGCGTCCCTCCCATAACAGCTTCTTATTACAGCGTCCTGATGGGGAGTGTCGTCCTCTCTGCTCCCTCAGACTCTGGGCCTCTGGGTGTAGGGACTGTGCCCCAGTGGTACTCAGAAGATGGTGTTGAATTAATACTTAAGGTTCCATGCCATTATTTTTTAAGGAACTGGATGATTTATTAGAAGATGTAAGGTGGGGCAGGGGGTGGGGGACCTTGTTCTCCATAGCAACCCCAGTACAAAATACTCAACAAAACGCAGGGCATCTGTGTAATTAAACCCACTGAGAGATATAACCCAAACTTTGAGATTTGACAGATCAATAACACTTCCAAAATATATTTTGTCAACTTATACATCTAGAAACAAGAAAAAAAAATTAAATACCTCTTCCCTTCTCTAAAAAGAAGACCATTTTAACCCCGAAGAGTAGGGGAGAGGGGGGAGAATCTCCTTTGAAAGGAAAGAATTTTGTTTTATAAGAAAGTCACAGTGTTCTCCTGGGTATCAGGCTGCTGCTGACTGGAGACCATGCCAGTCTGACCAGTGCTGCTTAACAGACAGGTGCATGGGGGGACCTGGGCTGGAAGGAGACCCGAGTAAAAGAGAGACAGACCATGGTCCTGTAAGAAAAGACTAAAGAGTGAGAATCCTCCCCAGTTAATGGCCTAATTTCATGCAATTCCAATTAGGATCCCCATAGGAAACCGGTGTGCTCTGACAAAATGATCCTAGAGTTCCCCTTCTAGGAAAAATTTGAAAAGTGTTACTGAGAAAAATATCACTGATCAAAAGAGTAATTGGAAACTTTCTTCACCAGATAGTAAAACATAGAAGTTTCTAAATAATTAAAACCTTGATAATAGCAAATAGATTAGATAAATAGATCAATGGGACAAAATAGATTGTCCTCCCTGCTCCCTTGCATGGCCTGCCCAGTGTCTCCCAGAGCTGTGGGCTCATCACCAAACCCAGTCCTGAGGGAGGAGGGGCCAGAGCTGGGTGAGCTTTAGACAGTCGATGGCCTCAACCCCCTGGAATGCCTGGATCTCTCAAAGATTTGAATCTTGGGGATGGCAAGATAGCCCACTCCTCTGCTCATGGTTCCATTTCTTATTCCATGTTCCTCCTCCAACAGTGCCTTCCTCCCCTAAGGGCACCCCACCTGGACTCTATCAATCCCTCTCCATCTTTAGGAGGCAGCACACAGGGAGAAAGCCCCAGCCTGAGAACCAGGAGTCCAGGGGTCTGTTCCAGCTCTGCCCATGACTTTCTGTGTGACATTGGACAAAAAGCCCATCACCTCTGTGGGTCAGTTTCCCAACTACAATATGGTAAGAATCCATTCTGCCGTGCTAATCATATGCTACTGTGCCAGGAAGGAAAAAGAATTTAAAAACAAAAACAAAACTGGTTGCTGAATTCCTTTTAGAAATTCAAATATCTGTAGTAGGAAACTACCTTGATGCTAATTTGGGGCTAAAAGGAGAGTTCCTCCACTCCCTAGAGTATGGTGAAAATAGATGAGAAGTGGTTGGCAAACTTGGCTACACATTAGAATCACCTGCGGAATTTTTTTTTTTTAAGATTTTATTTATTCACTTGACAGAGACACAGCGAGAGAGGGAGCACAAGCAGGGGGAGTGGGGGAGGGAGAAGCAGGCTCTCCACCAAGCAGGGAGCCCGATGCAGGACTCCATCCCAGGACCCTGGGATCATGACCTGATCCGAAGGCAGACGCTCAATGACTGAGTCACCCAGGCGCACCACTTGGGGAATTTTTAAAACACAAAACTTCCCAAACTCCACTCCTAGCCTGGCAGAGGCTGACTAGATCCTATTTCCTCTTCCCGAGCACCAAGGAAAACTACATTTCCCAGGCCCCTTTGCAATAATCCAGGGCCACATGACTAGGTTCTGGCCAATGGATATTGGCCGACTGGCCCAGCCCATAATATCCCTGAGTAACTTCTGACCCTCTACTCCTCTTCCATCCCCCCTGTGCCACCTGTTCTGAAAGATGGTGGTATCAAAAATGGAAAGAGGCTGGATCCCTGAGTCACTACCAGGAATGGCACCCACTTCCCATCAGATATGATGTGAGCAAGAAATTAATAATAAAGCTGTGTTGGAGGCCCTGGCTGGCTCAGTTGAAGAGCATGTGATCTTGGTCTCGGGGTTGTGAGTTCGAATCCCACATTGGGTATAGAGATTGTTTAAAAATAAAAATCTTAAAATAAGGGGCGCCTGGGTGGCTCAGCCATTAAGCGTCTGCCTTTGGCTCAGGTCATGATCCCAGGGTCTTGGGACTGAGCCCTGCATCAGGCTTCCTGCTCCTCGGGAAGCCTGCTTCTCCCTCTCCCACTGCCGCTGCTTGTGCTCCCTCTCTTGCAGTCTTTCTCTGTCAAATAAATAAATAAAATCTTTTTTAAAAAACTTAAAATAGGGACGCCTGGGAGGCTCAGTGGGTTAAGACTCTGCCTTCAGCTCAGGTCATGATCTCTCTGCTCAGCAGGGAGCCTGCTTCCTCCTCTCTTTCTGCTGGTCTCTGCCTACTTGTGATCTCTCTCTCTCTCTATGTCAAATAAATAAATAAATCTTTAAAAAAATTTTAAATAAATATATAAATAAATAAAACTTAAAATAATAATAATAATAAACAACTGTGTTAGTTATAGTAGTCTGCCTTTCCAGAACTTCTGATTTAACTATCTGGAGTAAAGTCCAAGCAGTTGTTTTTGTGTGTGTTTGTTTTTTAACCCCCCAGGCAATTCTAATGTGCAGCCAGGATCGAGAAACCCTGGATTAGGACAAAAATACAAGTGTGGGGTCGCTAGGTATGGTCATGAAATATTCGTTTTTCCAAGGACACCCCAGAGATGGGAAGAAGGCTGTTCAAAAATGAGAGGAAGATGGACACCTGGGTGGCTCAGTTCTTTCGGTGACCAACTCTTGATCTCAGCTCAGGTCTTGATCTCAGGGTCATGAGTTCAGGCCCCGAGTTGGGCTCCACACTCGGTGTGGGGCCAACTTAAAAAAAAAGAGAGAAAGAGGAAGAGGGTGTAACAACATGGAGGGAGACAGGGGACCCCAAAGGGAAAGGTTGACCAGAAAAGTATTCAATGTGCTGGGAATGATCAGGGAATATTTCAGAGTTGGGGCATTTAATATCCAACCCTAAATTCTCATCAGACCTGTTAGGTGGGAAACATGAGTCCTTACGCTGTCTCCACACCCCCAACAAAGTCCGTCCCATGCTCATCCCTGTGTAAGTGGATGCTTTGGGGAAATCAAAGGAAGAAAGCCAGTTCCACATTTGGTTGTTGTGGGGAGGAAGGAAAAGCTAAAGCTCCCAGCTGAGAATCTTCAGTGAACATTCTGAGCTCCCCTGAAGAATTCAAGGTGGGAAGGAAGGCTGATGCCTTGCCCGAGGAATTTCACACACACACACACACACACACACACACCCATGGTGACATCTGGGTGACATTTCAACCAGCTGTCTATGGCTTGTGTTGTTGAGTGCCTAGAACCAACACCAACATGAGCGCCGAGAGTCCCATGACATTTCCATAAAGGATAAAGCTAAGCAGGACAGGGACTTGCTGAAAGCCACAGAGCAAGTTCTGGGTGAAGTGGAGTGGATTAGCCTTGGAGTCCCCGAGTCCCCGACCCCCACGAATGCTCACAGACTCCTGGATACGAGCATTTAGAACAAGCATCTTCTGGTGATGGGGCACGTGGAATGGGGAGATGGGAAATTGTGGAAGACATCACTGGACACAAGTCACTCCGACTTCCATTCCAGAATTGTCTGTGCTGGGCTCCCCACTCTCACCCTGTACCAAAACCATCCGCCCAGCCCCAACCGAAGACAGACAGAGCCCAGAAGCCTTTGTTTTCACATTTAATCAAAGGAAAAGAAAGAAAACCAGTCAGAGCAAAAGCTCAGGAATTGGCTGAGGGAGGGAGAGGGGAAGGGCGACAGGGCCACTGAGTGTGGACAGTGGGGGACAGAGTCCTCATTATCCCAAGGTGCCCCAAATACAAGCGTCCAGGGAAGGAGGATAGGGTCAGAGAGGTAATGTGATGGGCACACACCTGCTCCAACCCAGCCCTGGGCCAGGGAGTGAGCGGGGCTTGTGTAGGGGAGGTAGGATGCAGTTGAAGGGATGAAGACAGGTGAGGAGGGGCCCAGCCCTGCCCCCCAGGCATCACTAGAGGTGAAGGTGCCAGAAGCCAGAACAGCATCAGCACAGGAGATCTGCCCAGCAGGGTCAGGTAGCAGCTCCTCAGCAAGGTGCCCAGCACCCACGGCGGGCCTCCCCCACCTCCATCAGAGGATGCTCTTTCCATTAGGGGACTTTGGGGGTTAACCAAGGGGAGGGGGCTGCACCCGCAGATCCTCCACTGCTTCTACTCCCAAGCGCCCCAGGTGAGGTGGGAACTGGCAAAGGATACCACTGTCTCGGACCAGGAGGAGAGCAGCTCTTCCTCCCACTCCTGGTCCCCTTGGGCAGTGGGTAAGGGTGATGCAAGGAAGAGCTGGAATGAGGATAAAAAGAACACTGATGAAAGGGGAAAGAGGAGTATAAAGGTGACTGCATAGTGGATGCCAAGCTATGCAAATGAGATGGCAGCAGGCTTGACCTTTATATCTCATTTGCATATCCTAGGCAAATGCAAATGAGATCCCTAATATAATAAATATATTTCTAACTTTGTAATAAATATTCTGTTTCTTCTCCCTCCCCTTCCCTAGGAAATGGGCACACAGTGGTTCAGGGGCCAGCTCAGGCTGAACCTGCAGCGAAGACTGATCAGACACTCAGAGAACTGGGAAGGACAGAGGGGCTGGCTGGCGGTGGGGTTGATGGGGTGGTCCCTGCAGACAGGCTCACCCCAGACGGGGTCACAGAGAGGGACAAGGGCCAGGTGCCTGGGGAAGTCTAGGACGACATTCTTAAAAGGGATTCTCCTATCTTACACAATTGCCCTCCCCAAGGACTCGAGGGTGTCATATAGGATAGGGGGACACCAAGAGAAGGGGAGAAAGACATCTGGGGAGGGCCAAGGCCCTGGAATCTGGGATCAGGGTCTCACAAGAAATGGGGACTGATGGGGAGCCCCCAAAATAGGGCCCCAAAAAGTGACCTCCAAAGCAAAACAACCCTTTGCTTCTCTTCTCCCAAAACCGAGACTCACACACACGCAAACGGCGCAAACGCAGACCAGGTGCCTCGGCCTGCGGAACCTAAGCTGCGCAGGCAGAAACAGTGTGGATGGCGCCCCCTGGAGTTGTACAACAGGGAGCCGGCTAGAGCACAGACGTCCTCTGCCAAGCCCCTGTTCCATGGCCGGCTCACAAGCTCCTCTCTGCACCCATCCTCGGTCCTCCAGGCACACCTGATGAGAGTGGGCCACCTGGACCCCGCTGGAGGGACCAAGATGGACTGGGGTCCTGAACAGGGAGCCCAGACGTGCCACCAACCTCCCCCCCACCACCACCCCAGCCATGGTCAGCAGTCACAGGCTCCCTGTCACACTTCAGCTCACCCCTCCCTGCGCTGAGCCCTGCGGGGAGCAGAGCCGCCCTGCCAGGGGCACATCCGGAGAAGTCCGTGGAGAGACTTCGGCAGTGAAAAGCTGTGCAGGAGGGAAGGACGGTGTGGGGTCCACTTGCGGGCATCTGCCTCATTCCCAGGGAGCTGGGACCGCACTGCTCCCTGGCTGTGGCAGCCGGCTCAAGCTTTGGCTCCCCCAGCCTTCAAGAGGGCCCCAGGCGGGACCACTGCCCTGGACCGCCAGGCCTGCTCCCAGGGATGCGAGCCCGCAGGGACGAGGGGTGGGAGGAGCCCGGGAATGGAGTGGGCGTGGCCAGTCCGAGGGGAAAGGGCGGTTTGAGAGAGGTGGCCAGGGGCAGTGTACCTACTGGCCACAGGGCCCCAGAGCAGCTTTCCTCTTCTCTGCACTGGGCATTATGGAGGTGACTCTGACACATTCCGGGGAACAGCCTGGCCCTCAGAGAAGGACATCCGGTGGCAGGGGGCATCGGGAGTGGGCAGCACCTGGGCACAGTCGTGCCCCATGAACACCCACCTCCTTGGCAGTGCGCGCATCTGTGTGGAACAGCTTAGGGCCCGCTAGGAGCCATTGTCACCCAGGGAGAGCCAGACAGCGGGGGATGAGAGCTAAGGACCAGGGCTGGGGGTCATGGCTGGGGGAGGGGATGGATTCAGGGTTCTGGGTCACAGCCCAGAGGGGTGCAGTCCCCATGAACAGTCTCAGTACACCCAGCTGACGGGCACCCACTGGGGCTCCGTCCATAGCTTCTCCATGGCAGCCTGGAGCTCACGAAAGGTCCTCTCCAGGTTGGTGTTGACCAGGCTGAGGTCGAAGTAGTGCCCGTAGCCCCTTTGGATGCGGCTGCTCTCCTCCACGGTCCTCCTCAGGTCGGCCTCCTGCGGCACAAGGGACCCTCCCGGCCATCAGTGTCCCCACATTCACCCCCATCGTCAGGGGGAATCGGCAGCATTCCCTATCTGTCCCCCTTCCCCAGAGCCCCCCCATATCAAGTATGAGCTCCCCAGCCTGAGGAGGCAGGAGCCCCTCCCCACATGCCCCAGGGCGGCTCTCCAGCAACTCTGGACAGACTAACAGGTAAAAAGAAGGAAGGAAGGAAATAAACTTCAGTGAGTGCCAAGCAGGGCACACTAACTGCTTTTCAACCGCATAATCTTTACTGTGGCTCTGTAAGGCAGGACTTATTATTCGCCATTTCCAACAGAGAACATTGAGGTACAGGGAGGTCGCCTGGCCAGCAGGTGCACAGGGTCCGCCTGACTCCAAAGTCAATGCTCCCTCCACTCAGACCAGGTGCCCTTAACCTCCACAGCCTGAGACACACCTCCCAGGCATGCCGTTACTGGGGCAACCCCAGGAACCACCACCCCACACCTAGTCAAAGCTGGGCAGCTGGCCAGGCAGGAATGCAGAGGGAACTTTGAATAACGACTTAAATAAGTCAAGGTGGGAGCTCTAGGACTGGCCCAGCTATGTCCCAGTGACCCCAGTTGGCTACGTTTGTGGCCAGGGGACTTCAGCCTGGAGCCCAGCCCAGACAGCCTTTTCCAGGGCCTCAGCAGGACTCTGACCTAGGGCCTGAGAGCTGCAGTACCAGCCATGGCCAGAAGATGGACCCCTGAGCCCAGAGTTCTGCAAACCCGAAATCTCCCGGGGAAGGGGAAGGCTGCTCTAAGCGGTACCTGGTGGGGAGGTAGGTGTCCTGGGGTCCTGTAATACCTGACTGGAAGCCTCCTCCTCCCTAATGCTAACTCATCCCTCCAACCTGACTGGAAGCCTCCTCCTCCCTAATGCTAACTCATCCCTCCAACCAGACTTCCAGCCTCCAGCTTCCTCCTTCCCTTCAGCCTTTCCCTCCAGTTATAGACACCCTCACACTACCTGGTCCATTCTGCCCACACATCTCCCACTGGCCCTCTGGACTCCCTTTGGTCAGCACTCTGTCCCCATAGAATGGATGGAGCTGTGGGGCTGGCAAAAGCTCCTGCAGCCCAGGCTAGCCATATCCCTGACTGTAAGACTTTGGACACTTCACTTCCTTGCCCAGACCTCTGTTTTCACAACTATAAAGCAGGAATCACAAGTCCAAACTCACTGATACTTCGGGTGGGCCCCTCTCCCCTTCCCTGATGCCACCTTCTTCCCCTCATCAGCCCCAGCCTGTCCTCTCCCCAAGGCAGCCACCGGACCCCTCCCAGCATACATGAGGGCCCTCACCGTGAGCTGCTTGGTGGACACCCCACTCTCCAGGGCAGCCCGGTTCATGGCCCGGAGGGTCTCAAAGTCAGGGGCCTCAATGAACACCACGTAAGGGACAAACTCAGCTGTTCTCAGCACTTTCACTGCCTGCAGGAAGAGAAGGGGATGGGGGAGTCTATCCCCACAGACATCCTAGAAGGTTGGTGAAGGATAACTGGGTGGGGGGGACAGATATCTGGAAGTGGTGGGGAAATGGTACCTGGCATCCTGGGACCTGCGTCCGGGGGATGAATGGTAGAGGAACCACTGGCAGGTGGCTGGGGTTTGGGACATCAGAGGAGGCTAGAGGAGTGGGGGGCCTGGGAGGCTGAGAAAAAGGTTCTAGGTGCATTGGGTCCCTAGCAGGAGCTGAGGGGTTTTATGGGGGGGGGGGCTGCTTGGGAGACCAGGGCCTGGAAATATATGGGGAGTATGTGGCAGGGCGGGGGTGGGGGCAGCAGAGTGCACAGAGGGGAAGTGGGCAGGCTGGGAACAAGCAGGCTGGGACCATACCTGGGGGTTGACATCCAGCACGCACACCTTGCCGGAGGCGACCACACCCCGGATGGAGTCGATGCGTGTGCCATACAGGTTGCCCTCATATTCGCCATGTTCCAGGTAGCGTCCCGCCCGGATGTCGGCCTCCATCTCCCCACGGGACACAAAGCTATAGCCCTGGCCTTCCCGCTCCGAGTCCTTGGGCCGCCGGGATGTGACTGGGGGAGGGAGGGCCTGAATGAACACAGGCAGGCCGTGTGCCGCCTCAGACACACGTGTACGTGTCCTACGGGAGCCACGCAGCCCAGCAGGTGCAGCCCCCCTCCACCTTCACTGCGCTGCTGCCTTCCCATGCCCCGTGCCCTCGCCCTCAGCATTGATACCCACAGATCCGAGACATCCATATTGTGGGGGGGGGGGGGCTCCAGAGTTCACTGCTCCAGCCCAGCGCTCACAGATGGGGGAGCTGAGGCCCAGAGAGGGCAATGGGCACCCCAAAGCCACCCACCAAGGTCAAGTGGATCTGGGGTCAGCACTCAGGTTCCTGCCTCCAGGAACCAGGAGCTCTGACCACCCCTGCTGGTTCTGTCACTACATGAGGCCCTGTTTCACATGGGTTCCCAACAGGGTTTTGTTGTTGTTGTTGTTGTTTAAGATTTTATTTGTTTATTTAAAAGAAAGAGAGTGAGGGCAAGGGAGTATGAGTAAGGAGCAAAGGGAAAGGGAGAAGCAGGCTCCCCAGCTGAGCAGGGAGCCCGATCCGGACCCATCTCAGGAGTTGGGGATCATGACCCGAACCAAAGGCAGATGCTTAACCGACTGCGCCCCCCGGGTGCCCCCCGACTGGGTTTTTAGCAAGTGAAACATGACAGAAGGAGAGGTAAGCCTTGCCCAGCCCACCGGGGCCACCGGTTCAAAAGAGGGCGTCCCAAACCCTCTCCGGCCTGAAGTTCCCCCATCACCCGCTGGGGGCGCACCCCCCCAAAAGTATCACTTGACTTGATAACCTGCACAGGCCCACTCAGTGAATGTGGCCCTGGCCCCTAGGGCACTCCTGCCTCCTGGCCCCCCACCCAGCAGGGCCCAGCTCCCACTCACAAGGCACTGTGGTGCCGTATCGATCCGGATCCCACATGATGAGCTTGTTCTTCAGGCTGCGCCGGCCCACTCCCTGGGCTCCGATCAGCACCAGGGTTTTCCGGCGGAAGGGGGGCATGCGGGCCACCTCCTCGTAAATGAGCAGCTCATGGCGGTCAAACTCTGAACACAGGGAGGGGTAGTCATCAGGCTACACGGCTGGCATGGGAGGGGCCGGGGGCCAAGGGCCAAGGGGCTGGGGCCTGGGGCAGCCAAGAGAGAGTAGGCAGGGCCCACGGACAAGACTGGCAGCATCAGCACAGGGAGGGAGAACATGCGCACAAGTCCTTGGCGGCTGGGGGAGGGGCAGGCCGTGTTAGAGGACAGGGAGGGGGCCTCCAACACCCACCGGCATTCTTGGTAGTCAAATACATCATTCGCTTCTTTTTCTTTCCTGAAAGGCTGCCACACAGCGTCCCTGGCCACAGAGAGATGGGCGAGTGAGGCCAGGCAGGCTGTGTCAGATCCCATACTAGGGGTTCCAGGGAGGACCCTCATACCTGAGGTGGGTGTCAGCTCCAGGTCCCGTTTGACAAAGGCTTTCCGCTTCTCCTCCAGCAGCTGGCTGGGGATGAGCCCAGCGCTGCCCCCTTCCACATGGCATGCCTGCAAGGGATATGGGACAAAGACCTGCCCGAGTGAGAAGACACCTCCCCAGGCCCTCACCTCGCCTCCCACCCCCCCGCCCACGCCACACCAGGAGACAGACACGGAGCCACACCTGCCACCAGTTAGCGTCATCCTGGTTTACAATCTGCAGCAAGTCCCCAGCACTGAAGCGCAGGCCCGCCTCCTTGCAGGGGATGAGGCTGTCTCTTCCGGGGTCATAGTCAAAGTGGCATTTCACAAATACCTGGGCCAGGGGTCACAGAAGGGTCAAGGGAAGAAGGGAAGGCTGGAGGGCAGTACCCTTCTCAGACCAGCCCCCCACCACTTCCCCCTCCTGAGGGTGGGGGAGTGTCACACAGTCCCCTGTCTTCTCCCTACCCTCACAAAGATGCAAGAGGCTTAGGCACCCCAGACCCACCCAGCCACCTCCCTGGGACCAGCCTCCCTTTACATCTAGAACAAAAGGATTCAGAGTGATGGCATCTCTGCTGGGATGGGGTGGGGCATGGACCCATCCACTAAGGAGAAGGCGGGATCACTGGGGAAGGGACACAATCCTGGCGCATAAACCAGGATCCCTTGGTCTACCCACACCCTCCGCTTGGCCCAGGGGGCTCTGGCAGATGACTGGAGAGCCCACAGGAGCAGATGGACAGAGCAGCCAGACCCCCACAATCCACCAACCAGGAAGCAGCCATACAGGACGCGTGGCGACCCGACGTTGCACATGCGCGCACCCCGTTCGCATCTGCAGGCGCAAGACTGCATCCACACGGGCGCTCCTGTGGGCACCCCAGGCCTTAAATGTGCACGCGTCCCTTGCACATGTGTATGAGTGCCCACAACTAGGGCCAATGCACGAGCATGCGGGAGATGGGGCACTCTCACCCCCGGGATGTCACCCTGATGGCTGCCCCTTGGGCCTGAGGCTGGCGGGGAGAGGGGAGCTTGGTGGAGGGACCCACCTGGCGGGGCAGATGGGGCTCCTGGTAGCTGGGCAGGATCTTGAGGATGACGCTGCCGCTGGCAGTGCGCAGGAGCTCCTGCAGCGCACGGGGGTCGCTGCCCACCGGCTGCCCGTTCACCTCCTTGATGATGTCGCCCACATGCAGCAGGCCTTGCTGAGCCACCATGCCGCCATGCAGGATGCGTGCGATCACCAGCTCGCCGCCCTCCACGCGGAACGTCACACCCTGGGGGTGGATAGAGGGTCGGTATGATGAAGGGGCTCCTAGGGGCTCCAAGCTGGAATCTTCGGATGGGTCTCCTAAGCGCCCCTCTATTCCCATCCTCACCCCCTTCTATCCCAGCCTCGCAGAGTCCTCCTCTTCCAACTCTGCCCAAATTCTTCACTCAGGGGGGCATTCATGGAGGGAAAGCGGGCACTTTCTGTGCGCAGCTCAGGTGCACAGGGTCTGTGGACTCCAGGAGCTGCATGGGCCCATCTTCCTCTTCGGCCCTCTCCTGACCAGATTTGGTCCCCACCTGTTACTCTCAGTGCCCCCTCCAGACCCCCAGCCCCAGCCCCGCCTTGCGGCCTCACCAGATGCTCTCCAGCTGTCTTGCGGATGCCCACCATGCGCACTGCGTCAGGAGGTACTGGCTGGTTGCTGAAGGTGGGGTCCAGGCCAGGGCTGGGGGGTGGTGTCTCATAGGTCTTCGAGGCCACAGAGTCGTGTGTCTCCAGGAGAGACTGTGGAGGTAGTGGAAAGAGGGCAAACATGAGACAGTGTCCCATGGTCCCTTCCCATCCCTGTGCTAACGTCCTGCCAGCCCCCTCCCCGCAGCCTGCCCCAGCCCCCACCACAGCCCAGGGCCCGAACCTGGAAGTGGGGCTCCTGGAGGATGCGGGCCAGCTCCGCGGCTGTGCTGCTCTGCTCTGCCAGCTGGGCCAGGTCCCGGAGGATCTCCTGCACGAGCTCTAGGTTGTTGTCCCGCACTGCCTCCAGCTTGGTCTCCTCCAGCCGCTCATGGGCCTGGTGGGGGGTGGGCAGAACAGGTGACACCTGAGGATCCCCAAGAAGCCTGAGGTACCAAACACTGTCCCCTACCTGCTCAGATCCTGACTTTAGACCTCAACCTCTGCATGGCTTCTGACACGAGCTTCAGATGCTCGCTCACCCAGACACAAGCACACTCACACACACACAGACACGCCTTGCTTTCCTCTTTCTCGCCCCAAACGATGATGAGGACCCAGTTTATAGAAGGAAGAATACAAGCCCAAATGTTCATTCCCATCCTCTTGTCACAGAGGGCCATTAAAATCATCAAGCTGTCCCCAGCCCCCCGGGACCTTATAAGCCTGTGAGTTCAAGGACAGCTTTTTCCACATGAAGGCACGGTCTTGGACATCCTGTAGCCCAGGATGAGGAAGCCGGAGAGGTGGAGCAACTTGTTCAAGGTCACAGGGACCCAAGCTTGGGTCTCCAGACTTTCAGGCCAGTGCTCCCAGGGAGGGAGGAGACAAGAAATCAGTACAACTGACCCTTGAAGAACACGAGGGTTAGGCACACCAATCCTGCACCATCAAAATATTGCTATGTATGGGAAATCTGGGGGGCTCAGTCGTTAAGCGTCTGCCTTCAGCTCAGGTCATGATCCCAGGATCCTGGGATTGAGCCCCGCATCAGGCTCCCTGCTCAGTGGGAAGCCTGCTTCTCCCTCTCCCCCTCCCCCTGCTTGTGTTCCCTCTCTCGCTGTCTCTCTCTCTCTCTGTCAAATAAAAAAAATCTTTTTAAAAAATTGCTATGTAACTTTTGACTCCACGAAAACGTAATTACTGATAGCCTACTGTTGGCTGAATTCTTATGGATAATATAAACAGTTGGTTAACCATATCTTCTATGTTATATGATTATATACTGTATTCTTACAATAAAGTAAGCTAGGAAAAAGAAAGTGTTAAGAAAATCATAAGGAGGAGGGAACATATTTGAGGCACTGTAATTTATTTATTAAGAAAAATCCACACATAAGTTAACTCACAAGTTCAAACCCATGTTGTTCAAGGGTCAACTGCCTACAGTACCAGGAGAGGGCCCTGTACCTATTTGTCCCTCTACCAACCCTGGGCTCCACGACAAGGTGTTGCTCTGAAAAAAAGGAAAGGCAGCTTTCTCCAGGGACCAGCCCAGCCGGGAGAGTCATGATAGTTGGGTCAGGAAGTAAGGAGTGCCGGGTCAGGGATATACAGGAAGACTTTTTTCTCTCTGAGTCGTTTGAAAAAGAAGTCACCTCACCCCAGAATCATTCAGCATACATCACCTAAGAACAAACAGGAGATCTGCCACATAAACTACAGTCCCATTATCACACACAGGAAGTTCAACATTGAAACGCTGATATAATATAATCTAGTAGACGGTCTCTATTTAAATGTTCACTGTTGTCCCAAACATTTTCCCTTATAGATTCATTTTTGTGGGGTTTTTTGTTGTTGTTGTTGTTGTTTTGTTTTGTTTTTGTTGTTTTGTTTTGTTTTGTTTGTCCCTGATGGGCAATCTCAACGAGGACCAGTTGTTACATTTGGTTGTCCCATCATTTTATTCCCCTTTAATCTAGACCAGATCCCAATAACTTTTGGTCTTTCAGGACATTTTTAAGTTCAGGCAAGCTGTTTGTAAAATGCCCCACAACTGGATTTTCCTGATTGTATCCCCATGATTAGACTCAGGTTAGTCATTTAGGCAAGTGCTCTACATAAACGATCTTGTCTCTTTCCCACACCTTGAGATCCTGTGACTATTCTGCTCCCCAATAATCTTTCACTGATGAATTTAGCATTCATTGATGACCCCTGCCTAAGCCAATTCATTTTTTTTTAAAGATTTTATTTATTTATTTGACAGACAGAGATCACAAGCAGGCAGAAAGGCAGAGAGAGAGAGGGAAGCAGGCTCCCTGCCAAGCAGAGAGCCTGATGTGGGGCCTGATCCCAGGACCCTGGGATCATGACCCGAGCCAAAGGCAGAGGCCTCAACCCACTGAGCCACCCAGGCGCCCCAGCCAATTCATTTTTTTAAAGATTTTATTTATTTATTTGACAGACAGATCACAAGTAGGCAGAGAGGCAGGCAGAGAGAGGAGGAAGCAGGCTCCCTGCTGAGCAGAGAGCCTGATGAGGGACTCCATCCCAGGACCCTGAGATCATGACTTGAGCCGAAGGCAGAGGCTTTAACCCACTGAGCCACCCAGGCGCCCACCAGTTCTTTTTTTTAAGGTGGGGAGGAAGGGGCAGAGGGAGAGAGAGAGAATTCCAAGCAGGCTCCATGCCCAGAAGAGAGCTGGATGCGGGACTGGACCTCACTGAAATCAAGAACCAGACACTTACCCAGCTGCACCACCAGGCCCCCCAGTCAATTCTTAAATTGGGAGTTGCAAAATGGTGCTTTTCTAACTCGTTATTCCTTCTACATTTATTAGTTGGCTTTCTATAAGAGAGAGCTTGTCCTTTTCCCCTCTTACCCCTCTCCCCATAGCCCCCTCTCTGCATCACTATGGATTCCTTTTACCCTGTGCTCTAAATCATCACCATCACTATCTTCTTTTTCTCAATTTATCCCCAATTTGTGCAGTAGGAGCCCCCAAACACACCTGCGTCCTTTTGACATTTCCCATCAGTCCTTGAGAACCTTCCTCCTTCTGCCACGGGCTCATCCTATACTTTCCCTACCCCAGGTCTGGGCTCAGCAATTTCTCCAAGGAGCTCAGATTCCTTTTGGCAGGGAATGGTATTTAGAAACCAAGATCTGGGCAACTGGTGCTCATTCCTTCTGGGGTGTCACTTATAGCCATTAGTCGATACTGATTATTCCAAATAAAATCTAAGTCTGCAAGATTTTCCTTATCTTCCCTCATTCCATATTTATACCTCCCATTTAAGTATTTAAATAAATAGTCACGGGTGCCTGGATGGCTCCGTGGGTTAAAGCCTCTGCCTTCGGCTCAGGTCATGATCCCAGGGTCCTGGGATCGAGCCCCGCATCAGGCTCTGAGCTTGGCAGCAAGCCTGCTTCCCCACACACCCCCACCTGCCTCTCTGCCTACTTCAAATCTCTAGCTGCCAAATAAATAAATAAAATCTTAAAAAAAAAAAAAGAAAAAAGAAGTACAGCCTTAGCCTATATCTCACTTAGGGTATACAGTCAGAATATTATGAGCAAAAGTAACTAGAATTAATTCCCTTTTCTATATGGTTATGTTAACAATCTAATAGGTGGATGGATTCACTTACCCACACTTAGTTTCAGAGTTAACTTTTTTCATTCTTTTTAATTTATTTGTATTTTTGGAATATGCACAACATTTACATTGTTCGAATTTTAAATCTATATAAAAAGTAAATGGAAGGAAGTCTCATTTCCATCCTCATCCCTTACACCTTATTCACACACACACTAGAGGAGATCATTTTATTAGTTCCAATTTATTCTGTTTCTTTTCACAAAAATAAGTACAAATTTCTCTTTTTTACATAAAAGATAGAACACAATACCCACTCTTTGATTCCTTGGGGTTTGTTTGTTTGTTTAATTGGCTTGGTTTGCTCTTTGGTTTTTTACTTAACAATATGCCCTGGAAATCACTCTATGCTGCTACTTGCAGACCTTCCTTTATTATTATTATTATTATTATTATTATTATTATATTTTAATTACTGCATTTGACTCACTGCATGACTGGAGGACCATAATTTATTCAACCAATCTCATGGGTATTTACATTATTCCTAATATTTCACTATTGCAAATAAAGCTGAAGTGAAGAACCTGGGGCAACTGATGTCTGTCTATAGAGAAGTCTTCCATGTAAATTCCTGGGTCAAGCAGAAGACACAGGTTTGATTTTGTTAGATACTGACAACCCCTTTCCATTGGCCTTGGGCCGCTTTGTCCTCTCCCCAGCATCGGATGAGAGACTTTCCTGAAGCCCAGCCTGGACCAAGTGCACAGCTAGCTAAGGGTGCAGCCAGTACTTGAACCCCGATCTGTCAGCTCCTGATCCATAGCCAGAAGCAGACTGCAAAGGCAGAAACTCCACACAGCCATTTCTTAGAGAGCTTTTCCTTCTGCCCTCCATGCCAACATCTCTGATCATGGCAGAAGATAGGGAATTCTCATTTGAAATCTAGGCTCATAATTAAATAGCTCAAATACTGAAAGGAGTCCCAGAGAATGGTGTGCCAGAAGTTAAAGTCAGTCCTCCATCTGGAACTGATGATGTGATTTGCTTTGGTCAGTGGGACGTTAGCAAATGTGAGGCAAGCAGAAGCCTGGAAAGTGCTTGGGACTTGGGGCTTGTCCTCCCCTGTTGCTGAGACTGCCTTGCGGAGTACCCTGGGCCTCCTCCTGGAGGACAAGAGAGCACGCCATCATAGACCTTGCAGCCTTCCCAGCTGAGACATCGGCCATGTGAAGGAGAATGTCCTAGACCACCCTGCCCCAGCTGAGCAGCCCAGACCAGCAAAACCACCCAAATGATCAAAAATATCATGAGAAATGAAACATGGTTGTTTTAAGCCACCAAACTGTGGGATGGTTTGTTACTCAGCAGACGCTGACTGATACATTGAGCTCCTCACCACTGTAGCTTCCACTTGTCCTGTCCCCTGGTCAGAATCTCTATTTCAGTGATCTGCCCCCTCTCCTTCATTCTTCTAGGACCCTGTCTTGCTTTGTCAACTCTCACCCTGGCCTTATCACAGGAATGGAGTCTTCCCAGTGAACTCTGGCCATGGCCAAGACTGCATTGTAACAACTCCTTATGGTTTGAAAAACACTTCTACACCCATGACTTTCCCCAACCCCACCATGTCTCTGAAAGAGAGACATCATTATCCCCACTTTTCGGAAGAAATAACTAAAGGTCAGAGAGGTTGTCAGACATACTAAAATCACACAGCCAGCCAGTGACTATTCTGACTCCAAACCCTATGTTCTTTCTACCTCATCTCATATGGATTAGATCACAGGCCTCCCAGCTGGCAGATGTCCCCACTGGTAACAGTTCACCTGAATTTCTGAACGTCACCTGACTTGGATTCTTCACCTTGGCCTTGCCTGTTGCCGGAAACACCTGCTGCTGGATCCAAGTCAGCCTTCCCAGATGTCACCTACTGGCTAGGGCTGCAGCTGTCGTCTGCAGCCAACCCCACGGATTTATGATCTGTTGGCCAGATTTGACTTCCCTCCAGAGCCTTTCCTTCTGGATTTGTCCCCTGAGGCCCTTCCCCTCCCTGGTCTTAGATCTACTCAGCCCAGCCCCTCCCACACTGTCTGCACAGCCCCACCGGAGAGAGGCAAGTTCCACTCCACAAGAGTAAGGGAAGGGGATTAATAGCTATTATTAATTCCTGCTTAACTATTCCTGAGTTTATGGGCCACTTCACCAAGAGAACCAAGGTTTTACCACTGGATCTTTTTACAACTGGATCTGAGTACTTATATTTGTTAGGTTAGAAATGTGTCTCTATACATATAATCATTAAAATTGATGAGGAGTACAAAGTAGGTCCCAATGTCCAAAACAAGTCATGTCGTCAAGTCCAGATCGAAGAATGGAGAAACTTTACCTTTTGGTGAGGGAAGTGACAAAGGCCCACTGCAGAGTGTTACACGTACAGGGATGAGAGGGGTTCTTACTGAGCTCAGATAGTCTTTTTGGAGATGCACTTCTTGCTTGTCTCACAGCTCAATGGAGAGAAGTCACAGGGTCCCCCTAGCCCATCAGCCTCTTACTGGGAGTCTCAGTATTGAAGAAAGGTCCACACCACCTTCTACTGTGCTTTATGCATCTGAAACCATCCTGGGAATCTCCTGGGAGGAAATTCTGACCAGCTTATCCCCAAGATGAATTCTGGAGAAGGGAGTTTATGTCTACCGCCCGATCTGGCTGATTCTAGGTTAGGCTGGACTGGGAGGTCCCAGGGCAACAGATTTGGACCCCCTCCGGAGAACAAACTCTCCAGCAGTTCATTCCCACAGCCTTAGCGCTGTGTCAGCTACTCGGTGATCACGCCACAGATACTCATCAAAGCGAAGACAGGTAACTGAGTGAGTGACAGTCATCCAGCCAGCAATCCCCCTCACTGGAGAGCTGTCCAGTGGACCATACAAAGACACCGAAGAACACCACCGAGGGCAATCATGCTTTGGAGGGGCACTTCCGACCCCTAGATTCTGCCTTCCTGAAAGCTCCCTCTTTCACTGGCTGTCTCACTGTAGAGGCAACATCTAACAGGACCCAGAGGTGACATGGTCTAATAAATTCTACTCTGAAATCAGCTTTGGCAGGTTACAGGTGGAGAGGGTCAAAATGTGTATATTCAGCAATGCCACTGCCTGTGTCCACCCTAGAGAGACTCTCACACATGTGCAGAAGCAGAGGAATGCAAGGACGCTCCCCGCAGCGCCGCTCTGAATAGCGGGGAAATCAACAAGGTACGTTCTTGTACCTGTCTCTCAGGAGAACCAATAAATAAATACACTGGACTCTATTTCATATACTGGAACACCACACAACAGTTAAAATGAATCTATATGGGGCACTTGGGTGGCTCAGTCGGTTAAGCTCAGGTCATGATCCCGCCGTCCTGGGATTGAGCCCCACATCGGGCTCCCTGCTCGGTGAGGAGTCTGCTTTTCCCTCTCCCTCTGCCTGCTGCTCTCCCTGCTTGTTCTCTCTCTCTATGTCAAAATAATCTTTTAAAAAATAAAATAAAATGAATCTATCTGTATCTACATCTATACTTATGTCAGGAATCATGTTACTTACATAAACTAGAACTCTCCCAAACCTAAGCAGTTCGCGCTATCATTCCATTAGAGAACATTTAAAATCCCAAAACCTAGGGATGGATTGTGTACATCTGAACACATCGGTAGGCAAGACAGGCAAACATTCAGGGGTGGGACGTCATCCACCTCAAGCCAGGGGTCACCTGCGGGGACGGAAAGCAGTGGAAATGGGACCAAGGAGGGGTACCAGCGGCATCACACTTCTTCTTTCTTATAAAGACATAGCAAGAATGCAAGAAAGTGGGGTCAGCATTCCCATCCTGAAGATGATACTCAGAGGGCTGTTCGGTTTTTTCCTACACTCTCTGCATTCATTCATTGAGCAAATATTCCGTGAGCACCTACTCTGTGCAAGGCACTGTTCTCAGCCCCCCCGGGGACACAGGCAGACATGCCCCGCCCTGCTGGAACTCACACTCTCTTTGTTTGAAATGCTGGATCCCTCATTTTTATTTTTAATCCATGAATACAATCCTTGACCACTGAATGGAAAGTGCTCTGCCTTTCTCCAATCCCCTCCACCATCCCGCCCCAGTCTGCTCAGTTTCCTCCTCCCCAGAACATTCCACTTTCACCTTCTGCCATTAGCAACCTCCCTGGGTCTTCAGCCATTGCATGCATAGTGTGACCAGGCTATGTCCCGGCGACACAGCGTCCCCTGTGCAGCTCTCTCCCTCCAGTAGGGCCTGGCCCCCCTCCGCACCCCATGCCAGAGCCAGTCACAGCCATCCTGTGACAGTCCCCATCTCCACCCTGTGGAAAAGCTGCCACCTGGCTACCCTCTCCCGCTGGTCACCAACTTTCTGGTCACCCCACCGCCGTTCCCTGAGACCCTGAGACCCTGAGCCCGCCTCGGTCTTGTCCCACCCCAATGCCTGCCGTACCCTAGATTCCAATGCCAGCTACATGCAAACCTTCCATTTCTGGGCCTTTTGCCAGCAATCTGGGCCTTTTGACCTCCCTGCCTGCCGCAGCTACACCCTAAATTGTCATGTCATCCCCCAAAGCCGTCCTCCTTGGAAATCTCCGACCTCCCTCTCTCTGAACTCTACCTTCTCTTCCAGCTACCCACTCTCTCCCCAAACACTTGGTGACCTCAGAGAGCCCCCAGCCCTTCACTCCATTTTCTTCCTGCCTCTCTCCTGCCAGTCCTCCTCCCCATCCCTCCCAGTGATACTCTGAGCCACCTCCTCTCCCCTGTCCCCTTCATGCTGTTCCCTGCGTCTCAGCCTTCACAGCCGACACCCAGCACATACCTGGACCAAAGCCACACCCTTTACTCCCAGCATCCCAGGACTGAATCACCCCCACCTTAGAAAGTCAGGCACCTGCCATGGTCAATCTGGGGCTCTGTCAATCCTGCTCCCCGGCTTTGGTGGGGTCCCTCTCCCTTCCCTTCAGTGATTAATTGAGTCTTCATTTCCAAATCCCCCAGTTCAACGCTGATCCCTGATTTCCAGCATACAACTGCCCCCCTTTCTGGAAAATCTGAGCAAGTAGACAGGATTCCCCGCAACTCCATTGTCTCTACCCCAGGAAAGGGGGCACCCTCTATCCACCCCACCCTTCCCAACCCTGCCTCTGAGCCTCAGCCTCATACCTCTCCTGAGCAGAATCCTGAGTGCCTTGTTACCCCCACACCTCACCTTCCACACCCAAACACCCTGCCAATTCAATTCCTAAATACTTCTTTCGTCCTCCCCTCCCTTAAGCCCAAGGTTTACCACAAGTCTAGCTCAGGGTCATCCCCAACTCTGGCCTTTCCTGCTCCAGCCATGACCTTCCAACCACCCTCCATGGGGCTGCCAGAGGGATGCTCCGAAAACATCCATATCCTATCATCAAACCCCCGCTTGAAACCCACGAAGGGGTCCATGTCATTTACAGGACATAACAGGACAAGGCCCAAGCTCCCAGCACAGCTCCCAGTGCCCTCCACAACCTGAGAGCATGTCTGCGGCTTACACTCCCTGTCTCAGACCTGAAGCTTCAGCCTCACACCTGCCCTTAAGTCCCTTCACAGACCTCTGGCTTTTTCTCACCTCTGTTTCTGCTCAAGCTCTTCCACTGGCCCCAAATGCCCTCCCCCTCCTCCTCAGTCTTTCAGATTCAGCTCAAGGGGCCCTTCTTCCAGGAAGACTTCCCTGGCTACCCCAGACCAGGTTAGACATCCGCCCTTCACATTCCCAAAATGCCTAGTGCATCTGCCTCTAGCAGAGCCACTATCAAAATGCTTAATAACTTTCTCTCCTAGTGAGTTTCTCCGCCACCTGATGCACATGGCAAGTGACCTTAAAAAGACATCTGCACAAAATGCCCAAAGGCAGAGGGGACAGGCAGGATGAACTCTTGAATGTTCCAAGGTACAGGCACCAATCATACCCCCCCCGCAAGCTGGCAGTCATCCCATCCACCTGGGCATGTCCACACTCTCACTGGCCAGGCATGGGACTGCCCACCACCTGCTGTCCTGCAGACTCATCACCTGGGCAGGGATATTCTCACAGAGTCCCTCCACGGGGGGGTCTTCTGGGCCACATGCCCCTTTCCCAAGCACCCTATGGCCAACACCCCATAAACTCCCTAGGCACAGTGCCCTCGTGCCCATCTCCCTGGAGCACTATACCTTGGCCAGGGATCTCACTATGGGACTTTCCATAATGCCTCGAAGGAAGATCAGGTCCAGTTCTGCAGCCCCCGTGGCATTGGGGAGCGATCCCAGGTTGTCCAGGACTTGCTGCATGGCTGGGGAGAAGTGGCAGGTGATGAGATACAGGAACTAGTGGGACACCAGAGCAATTACCCCTCCTCCCCCATGTCCAGCAGAAGATGGCCTCTCTCCAGCAGCCCCTCCCCCCTGCCCAGCTCGGGCACTCCCGGTACCTGAATGTCCAGGGCTGGGGTCTAGGGGACAGGCAGGGGGACAGTTTCCTTGAGCTGGTCTCTAGGCCCTAGGTAATGCTAGCCTAGGCAGGTGGGAGGGTTTGGGAATCAGGAAATGGACTCTGACGTGGAAGGAGGGGAGAAAGGGAAGCACTTGTCAGGTTCCAGGTTCTGCCCTGAATCAGAGAGCCACAGACTCCTCACGTGATCTCTGGATGGGCTGAAGTCCCAGGACTCAGCCACCTGCACCTAGAGGGCCAGGGATAGGAGAGACAGTACTTGGAGCGTGTCCCTGAATGCGGGCCCAGAGTTAAGCAGGCAGTCATGCAGGAGGTCAGAGCCTGTACAGTATGCTATACAACAGCAGCACTAATTCCGCATGATTTTTCAAAAGTCATGGTCCCTCACTGGCTCAGTCTTTCCCTCCTGTAAAATGGGTGAGTGGAACTGGACAGTGTCTACAGGCCCTTCAGCTCGGTCAGAGAGTGATCTATTAACGTTGAGAAGTTAATATAGATCATAGGAAGCCAAAGCTATGGCCCAGAACATCAACAGGAGCTGGGGAGACAGGCACCTGGAGGAGCTGTGGGTGCCAAAGGGCAGAGATTAGACCAAGTCAGTCCAGGGATCAGCAACCCCTCAGCCTGCCAGGGGACATAACCAAGGACATGAGAACACCTGACACAGCTATGGCAGTGGCTGCTGAGATCTGAGGTGGGGCTTGTCTGTATGCACCCGCGGAGGTGGGAGCTCCTAGCTGTGGCAGGTTCTGGGGGGAGGAAGGGAGAAGCAGAGTGTGCCCAGCTGCGGGCAGAGATGGGCAGGGGGTATCATTACTCTGCCACCCAGCCACCCACGCCTGCATCTACATAACAGAGCTCAATCCATGGAGGGGGGCAGACACAGTCCCTGGCTCCTCTCACCACTCTTGTCAGAACCCCCTCCTCCAGGAAGGAACAGGGATGGGGAGGAGGGGGCACTGAAACTGGAGAAGCAGACATGGCTCAGGGACCCCCCTCCACCCCTCCTCCTCCCCACCTTCTCCAGAAACAACATCCAAGCCCGCCCTCTCGATCCCTCCTGCCCAGGCCTGGGCTTGGTATTGATCAGACACCTGCAAGGCCTTTAGAGGCCTCAGAAAGAAGCCAGGGCAGGGACCCTTCCCACTCTGCCAGGGCATCCTGGGATCCACCCTCCCCAGCCATCCTCACCTACAGATTCACAAGCCTGTCAGCCTTGGAGGAAGACAGAGCCCGGGGGAGTGAGAGCCCTCTGCCCAGGCCAGCTCCCTTAGGTTCCCGACGGCCTGCTCCCAGGGCCCCCTCTCCAGATGCCCAAACCCTGAGGAAGGAGGGTAGATGAAGGGGCCATCTCTCTCCCCGGCAGCCTCCCCACCCCACCTTTCCCTACCTTCCCTCTGGAGATCGGCTTCCTCAGAAGAGCCCAGGGATATACCCTCCAAGGAGGCCCCGCTGCCTGGGCTGCCCGCCATGGCTGTCCCCCACACCCGGCTCGGCTCCAGGGCTCCACGAGTAGCCTCTACACAGCTGTCGCTGCTCTGCCAGCCCAAGGGGGGCCGCGCTCGAGGAGGCGGGACTCGGGGGAAGAGCCAGCTGCGAGATCAGCCAATAGCAAGGCTCAGTCTCCCTGACCGCCTTGCTGATTGGCCAAAGCCCCAACGCGAGCAGCCGGGTGGGGAGGGGGCGGTGCCAGAGCCGAGAGTGGGGCGGTGGCAAAGAGTCCCGGTCCTCCCAGAGCCTGATCGCACCTCGCACCGGTGTTCGCACTCGCGGGGTCCGGAGGGGGCGGCTGAGGGGAGGTTTGCGGGGCAAGGGGTTAAGACTGCCGCCCTTTCAGAACCGAGGCGGTGCTCAGAGACCCCCCTCTCACAGCCCAGCTGGGGGAAACCCAAGGCGGGGTGCGGATTTGGCACCGGCTTGTTCCCGCCCCTCTCTTCTGGAAATCTCTCCTCTAAAACCCGCATGCCACTTCCTCCTTTTGCCCTCAGACCTCTACGTTCCTTCTCCAGGCCCAGTTTCCTTTACAATGACCCGCTCAGAATCAAAGGAAGCCCCCGAGAATGACTCTCAGTCCTCCGCAAGGAGCAGGGGCACCACTGTGGCATGGGACAAATACTGCAAGCCCCAAATGCCTCCCCCACCTGCTAGCCATGGGGAGGGAGGCGTTGGGGGGGCGGGAGAAAAAGGAGGGAGAGGGAGCGGCCTCACAGTCTGACCCCACAACGCAGCAGTGGCCCCTCCCCTCCCCCATCTCACATTGGCTCCTCCCCTTAGGTTAGGGATGGTGCCTGGTGGGCAAGTCAGGCATCTTGGAAGGGAAAAGGTGAGGATGCATTCTCACAGCAGGGACCCCGGTGGGCAGGAGCATAGAACTTGGCAGTTACCCCAGCCCAGTGCCTCCATTCCTCTGATACCCTGTACCCATGAGGACACCACCAGCTGTGGCTGCCACCAGACAGCCATTCCCAGAGGAGTGGCACCAGGTCGAAATGCACCCCTGGTTGCCATGGCAGCAGGAGGGATTACACACCAGGACATTAACCCAGGGATGCAGGAGAGATTTAAAGGGACAGCTTCACCTCAAAACAGCCCGCTTTGATTCAAAGAAAAGAGGGAGTCAAGTAAAGAGGGCAGAATGGGCAGGGCACCAGGCCTGAAAACTCCAGGGGCAAGTTCTCTGAACACTCAGCCCATGCCATGGCCCACATATCCCCCAGCCTGTCCCCCACCCTCAGGAAAGGGCCCCTCCACTTTACTAGAAGTAAAGTGCCCCTCCGCAATGACAATGGCTGTGTTGAGCCATAGGGAAGGGAACTGTTGGCTTCATTCTGCAGGTCGCAAGGCTGGAATCTCCCTGGGAAGGAGCAGGAAGAGGGAGGGTGACCCTGACCTCAGAGGTGGGTGACTCTGACCACAGCTGCCTCTCTTATCAGGCCTATAGGAAGTGTAATGGCCACCAAGTTAGAAGAAGTAGACCCATCATCATATTTTTGAGGCCAGGAGCCAATTCAGCCTAGGGTGGGCGCAGGGAGGGCTGCCTGCAGGAAGGGCCAAGAGGCTCATAGCTTGGGTCACACATCATCTCTTTACAGAAGAAGAAACTCAGGATCCAAGAGGTTAAGCAGCTTGTTCCTATCCTCCTTCCTTTGGATACAAGAAGGCAGAAGTAGCTGATGACATAACACCCAGGGGATCAGGGGCCCCAGGGGTCCTCAGAGGAAGCAGGCACATTCCCTCTTCCCTTGTCCCTGGCCTCCACTCCCTGCCTGGTCCCCACTGCACCCCCATCACGCCCCCATCAAGTGGCCTGCAGCCAGGGAAGTCAAATTCTCCTCCCTCTACAGCCCTGCCAGGCACTATTAATGGGTTTACTGGGCAGCCCCAGATTGAGAGGCCTTTAACCACAGGCTCAGAGTTGGACTTAATTAACCCCTAAGCAGCTTACAGTGAGGCCCAGGCAGACCGGAGCAGGGGAAGAGCCCAAGGGGCTCAGTATGCTGGACACAAGATGGGGAGCACTGAGCCCTCCAAGGCCACCAAGGCTGGGGGACATTAGTACAGTTCCTCCACTACATGGAGAAAAGGTCTTTCTGGATGGAGGTGCAAGGGTGTCACAGTTTAGGGTCTGGCCCACCCTCAGCAGCCTTCACTTTCCTAGTTCACTTTCTCGAAGGGGAGGGACAGGGGAGTTATTCTAACCAAAGCGGGAGGTCCGGAATATCTTGCAGAGGCAGCAGCAAGGCCTGGAGCAAAGGAAGGGACTGCAGGGCAGGAGGCACCCAGGCAGGGAAACATCAGACAAATCAGAGCAAAACCAGAGCAGGCTGTGGTGTGAGGGCCCATAGCCTCCAGCATAGGGAACTTCATCAGGTAGGGCCCTGACTGCACATGGGGTCCATGAACCCCCAGAATAGAATACAGATTTTGTGCACAGAGAAGCATCTGTCTATGAGGAAGGCCCACAGCTGTCATCAGATTCTCAAAAAGGGATCCGGGACCAAGAAAAGTTAAGAACACTTTTCTTATCCGATCACATCATCTTACAAATGAGAAAACGTAAGTCCTAAAAAAAAAGACCCAAGGTCACAGGCTCACTGAGATCATAACCCAGCAGCACCCCTTAACAACTGTGCATACCCCTATCAGGAATATACTTTCCGAGTCACAGCTTTAGAGTGTCACATCGACCTCTTTATAGGAGAAGAGACACAGCCTCCAAAAGGCTAAGAAATTTGCCCTGAGGCTTCCTAGCTCATCTGGGCGACCCACTCCCTTGCCCCACAATCTCCCAGAGAAGCAAGTCCAGGCTTCCTCAGCTGGCATTCTCCACGTGCAACTCCGAGCGTCCCAGGACACAGCTCCAAGCCCATCCCTGGCACAGGCTGCTTCAGTCCACTGATCTGGTGGCACCAGGCTGTCCTCCAACCCCCAGCCATCCTCCAAGGGCCCCGGTCCTAAGGGCCACCTCACCAACGAGCCTGGCCCCAGGCCATTGCCCTCCACAATACTGGGCATCATCTCTGGCCCTCCACAGAGGTGAGTTGAGCTGTGTCTCCAGCCCCACCCTTGAGCAGGTGCAGCAGAGCCTTGGAAGCCGCCCAAAGGAAAGGCTGAGTGGCAGAATGGAGCAGTGGTGGGGGACAGTTCATTCTTACCGGTGACTGTGGGAGTGCCTGACCGCTGCTCTCCACCCTCAAGGCCCTGCCTGGCACTCTCCGAACCACTGATACAAACAGACATCTTCAACCCCTTCTTACCAGACTCAGAGTTGGTGGCAGCAACTGGCATGGTGAGGTCTTAGAGGGCTCTGAAATGTCTCTCCTAGAGGAGGGGAGAGAAAAGAATGAGAAAGCACAATGGCAAAGCAATGAGGGAAGGAATTAGGAAGAGCCTCCCCTCGGGATGGGGGCATTCCCCAGAGGCTGCAGGATCCCACAGACCTGGGAGGCAGGAAGAGCAGATATCACATGCCCCTTTCTCCAAGGAGGAGAGGAAGAGGTTCAGAGAGGTTAATTGCTTTGCCCAAGGTCATGAAGCTAATAAAGAGAGCCACATGGAACACCCAGGTTTTATGACTTTAAAAAAAAATTATGTTTCTGCCTGCCATTTGTCCTTTATTTCTTTGGGGGGTGGTCTGAGTCCAGAATTTGAGTCAAAAGCAGGAAAGATGGGCATTCCCAGACTGTAAGCTCCATGAAGTCAAGAACTACACCTGTTTTATTTTGCTTCTGGATCCCAAACCTAGCTAGTGTAGGTGCTCTACAAACATTTGTGTGTCTGGCTGGCAGAAATGAAGTCATACTTTCCCGAGGCCTCTCTGACTTCCACTTTCTCCATTTGCCCCTTCTTAGTCCAGAGCTGGGACAAGAAAATCAGGGGGCTCCCTATTCTCCAGGGGAGGGTACAGGGGGGATACCCACTACCCTTCTTCCCTTTGCCTTCCTGGGCACTTGCTACTGGAGAAAACCCTAATTCCCAGTTGCCATGACAACTAGAGGCAGTGGCTCACTGCAGGGGTGGGGGAGAAGAGGGAAGCAGCTGGCAGTGCCCACTTTAGGACCAAATGCCTGCTGGGCCCTGGGGGGCAGGGAGTCACAACTTCATCTCCCCCTAAAAAAAGGATTCTACCTAGAGGGATCATCACCAGGTTTTAAGAAAACCCTCTCTCTAGTCCCATCCCTTCCACCCCCAGACCAGAGCTGGTCACCTGAGCTCAAGTGGCAGAAATCACAAAGGTTGTGGGATGACTCCCCTTCTTCCTGGATCCTCCCCTAAAGACATGAAGAAAGGTGTTTTCAGGGAAAAGAAGGGCACCCTCTGTCAGGCTAGCACCAAGGCTGGGAGAAATGCCCAGGCTCTGCTGTGCCAGCCAGTGCCCCTGTGCCCACCCCTGCTGTCCCTATGCCTTCCCTCCTGCCCCATCCAAGGTCCTGACCACCTGGAACCTGGAGCTTTCTCCTGGCTGATGCTGTTCTCCCTGACTGTTACTGGCAGAGCGGACCCCAGACATCCGCCTTCCTTAGAGACTGGAAGGTGAGAAGAGGCAGGGAGGATCCTGTCCCCTGGAGTCTTGCCCAGCCTGCCTGGGTTTTTCTCTGGGTAATCAGTTCCCACAGCCTCGGCTAGCTCTTCCCCACCCCCACCCTGGCCTCTGGGAGGGCGGGGCCTGGCTTGTGCCCACAGGAGAACAGCAGTGCCAGGCAAGCCAGTCTGGCTACCGGCCAAGGCCCGGGGCCCAGGCTTCGGGGAATGCGCACCTCGGCTTCCAAAAGCCTGGGCCTCGGTGTCCCCTCACCCCTACCCCCAGACTATTCACACTATCCAGGGTCAGCAGGTGATGCGGACCAGGAGCGAAAGGGGGAGGTTTCCTCCAGCGTCCCTCCCACCCACCCCTCCATTAATACCCATACAAAGAGATGTTGGAAGAGAAAGGTCTGACAAAGGCGCTTTGAAGACCGACAGATCGTGGGGA